TGGCAGCAGGATCTGTGCTCACAGTGAGGACTGCACAGATCCCGTGTAAGGTTCAGATGGCTGCACAGACTGAGTATTGCACCCACTGAGGCTAAGACCTGGGCATTAATCACCTTGGAAGAGAGGAGTTGAGGGTAAAATCACACCAATAGAGGTGATCATTCTACCTCCCCTTCTATTAACAAGAGGAGATCTACCATGCCTTACTTGAGTGTCACCTTGGGTACTTGTCCCATGATGCAGCACTGACTAGAGCTCCCTGGACACACCAAGCACAACACCTCCGGTTTTCACTGAAAGTGCAGACATTCCACTAAGCCACAGAGGCATAGTTCAAAGATGAAAGCCATCAGAGGAAAAGACCAACAATATCTCCACAAATACAGAAATTCAAGAAACAAGAATAAGGAAGACAACATGACCCCTTCCCCAAAGGAACACAACACTTCAATATTAGAATGTGAAGATGAAGAGATTGATGAAATGCTTGAAACAGAATTCAAAAGATTAATCATAGGATTACTCAGAAGCAATGAAAAGCAGGTCCACAAAGTAAAGAAATTCATACATGACATGAATGAAAGTTTTTTTCCAAGAGATTGATATTTTAAAGAGAAATCAAAATGATATATTAGAAATGCAGAATTCAATAGATCAAATAAAAAATGTGGTGGAAAGCCTTAACAACAGACTTAGTGAGTCAGAAGAAATATCTGAGCTAGAAGACACATCTTTGGAAATATTTCAGTCAGACCAAATAGAAAGAGAAATTAGAAAAATTAAAAATAGTGTTTCAGATTTAGGGGATACTATCAAATGACCCAGCATATTGGTCTTAGGAGTTCCTAAAGCAGTGGAATGATAGAATGAGTTAGAAGGCCTCGTTAGTGAAATAATTACAGAAAACTTGCCCAGTCTGGAGAAAGAAAGGGACATCCAATTACAAAAAGCACATAGAACTCCTAATAGACATGATAAGAAAATATCATCACCATGACACATTGCTGTCAATCATTCAAAAGTAAAACACACACACAAAAAGATTCTAAAACGTACACGAGAAAAATACCAGATTATTTTCAGAGGATTTCCAATTAGACTCACAGCTGACTTCTCATCAGAAACTCTACAGGTTAGGAGAGAATGGAGAGACATAGTTCAAATCCTAAAAGAAAGAAATTGTTAGCCAAGAATACTACCCAGCAAATCTCTCATTCATGAATGAAGGTGAAATATAAAGACATTCCATAACAAACAAAATGAGTTTGTCAACACTCATCCAACCTTACAACATATGCTTAATGATGTGTTACACATAGAAACACAGAAAGATAGTCATCATTATGAAAGAAGGTGAAGGCAGAAAATCTACTAGAAAAAGTACAAAGAAAATCCAAAGTAAAAAATAGGAATATTTATGGAAAAATGGCAGGACAAGGTTGTTATTTATCAATTATAACCTTCATGTATAAATAGCCTAAACTCTCAAGTTAAAAAATACAGACTGGCTGAATGGATTAAAAAATAAAACCCATCTATTTGCTGCCTACAAGAAACACATCTCACCAACAAAGATACACACAGACTGAAAGTGAAAGGATGGAAAAAGATATTCCATGCTAACAGGTGTAACCATCCTAATATCAGACAAAATAGACTTTAACACAAGAAAAAACTGTAAAAAGAGACAAAGAAGGGCACTATGTAATGACTAAGGAACAAATTCAACAGTAAGATGTGACTATAGTAAATGGATATGCACCCAATTACAGGGTGCCTGGCTATTTAAATGACATGTTAATGGATCTAAAGGGAGACATAGACTCCAATACAATAGTAACAGGCGACTTCAACACCCCATTTTCATCAATGGACAGATCAACTACACAGAAAACAGCAACAAGCCAACAGAGCTAATTGAAACTATGGACCAAATGGACTTAACTGATATATACAGAACTTTTCATCCTACAGTTGCAGAATACACATTCATTCTGAATGAAATTTTCTCTAGGATAAACCATATGGTAGGCCATAAAGGAAGTATCAGTAAATAAAAAAGAAAAAAAAAAACTGAAATCATACCATGCATCTTCTCAGCACAATGAACAGAAGCTGGAAATCAACAACTCAAAAATCTCTAGGAGTGTGCCAACGGTACATCGTAATAAGCTAAGCCTCCACCTATGGTGCCAACATGCACTATGGAAGCTGGTTCATGTCCCAGCTGCTCCTCTTCTGTTTTAGCTCTCTGCTGTGGCTTATAAAAGCAGTAGAAGAAGGCCCAAGTGCTTGGTCCCCTGTACGCAGAAGCTCCTGGCTCCTGGCTTTGGATTGGCCAACCTCTGGCCATTGTAGCCATTTGGGGAGTGAACCAGTAGATGGAAGACCTTTCCCTCTGTCTTTCCTTCTCTCTATCTATAACTGTACCTCTCAAATAAATAAATGAAATCTTAAAAAAAAGGATGTCTAAAACATATGCAAAACACATGGAGACTGAATAGCATGCTCTAGAATGAACAGTGGGTCACAGAAGAAATCAAAAGGGAAATCAAGCAATTTCTGGAAATGAATGAAGATGACAATACATCACATAAAAACTTATGGGATACAGCAAAAACAGTGTTAGGGAAATTTATAGCAATTGGTACCTACAGGAAGAAATTGGAAAGGTACCAAATAAACAAGCTATCAATGCATTTCAAGGACCTAGAAAAACAACAAACCAAACAAAAAATTACTGGAAGGAAAGAAATAATTAAAATAGATAAGAAATAAAACATTAAAACCAAAAAACCATATGAAAGATCAGTTAAATGAAGAGCTGACTTTTTGAAAAAATAAACAAAACTAATATACTATAGGCCCAATTAACCAAAAAAAAAAAAAAGAGGGAGAAGACTCAAATCAATAAAATCAGAGATGAAAAAAGGAAATGTAATAACAGATACCACAGAAATAAAAAGAATCATCAGGAATTACTAAAAAGAGCTGTATACCAACAAATTGAGAAACTTAGAAGAAATGGATAGTTTCCAGGACACATACAGTTTACCAAAATTGAGTCATGAAGACTGTCAAGGTCATGAAAAACAAGAAAATTCTAAGAAAGTATCACAGCCAAGAGGAACTTACAGGGACATAACAACTCAATTTAATGCGGATGCGGGGGAGCCTGGTATAGAATGAAGGGCATTAGGCAAAAACCAAGCAATCCTAATTTAGTTAATGGCCAATGTTTCCATATTGGATCACTGACTGTAACAAAGATACTATACTAACATAAAATGCTAATAATATGGGAAATCGGGGATGAGATAAAGAGATCTATTACCTACAATTTTTCACAACTTAAAACCTTTCTAAAAATATAGTCTAATAAGTAAAACAAAAAAAGGAGTCATGGCTTGATTATAATATCACAGTAAGAGATTTTGTGATAGCTGTAAAACCTGTAGTAGGGAACTGTCTGTGATTTCTATTAGTGGCACATTCACAGGTGGTTCTAATATTATTGTAATTTGTTGCCTATATTTTACACTCAAAGGACATTTTTAAATGCTAAATTTCAAATAGAGTTTGGTGAAACTAAAGATGCAATTTTCTCACCCAAATTCCATATTCCTTAATTCTATTTATAATCTCCCTTTTGATGCAGATTAAGAATTCCCTGGTCTATGCTACTGTTAATGGCCTAATTTTATGAAAGCATGGTTCACAGAGATGGACTAGATCCTTCCAGATTCATAGAGTATACATTCTAAGGCCTCAGATACTGAGTTGTTTTTGGAACTGTTTTGGCTTCAGTACTCATTAAGCAAAGGTGCTTACCTAGCCTTTTGCAGATGGCTTGGATTTAATATGGATAATTCCAGTTACAAGGCAAGTAAAAGGAGGGTACTCTACCCCTATAGAACTGATGGCAAAGAACCTCTCTAATTTGAACTGCCTCCACAACTGGGTAAAAAAACTTTAGCTCAGCCACAAAAAGTGCAAGTCCTAGACTCTTTTCCTTAAACACCCAGCCCTCTATTGAAATGGTCAGTCATTTTGGAAAGAAGCAAAAGGAGGGAGTTGGGAAGGAGAGAGAAAGAACCACCTTGTTAATAATAGCTTGTGCCCAGTTAAGTAGGGCCGGAATGGGGTTGCATGCATAGGTGCTTATTTCTTTCCTAAGGCAAATTCTTTGGGGAATATAAAACATAGCCTTCAGATAATGTGCACTCTGCATCTTGTTTTCCAAATGGTATAGCTGTCGCCATAGAAATCGGCCCAGTTAGGTGGCAGGAGGGGATTGGGGGCGAAAATGAGGAAGGGAGAGAAAAAGGTGTTGGGGGAATATTTGTCAGCTGATGCACTCCTGAACTGCAACAAAATCCTGGGCTGACCTCTCTCTGTTGCCTTGGATGCCTTCTCTGGTCGGACCCATTTCTCTAGTCCTATGGGGGATCCCCGTTCTGTTACGTAGGCTGCAGGGCGAGGGGTGCCAGCTTTCACCATTGTGAGCAGGTTGCCTGTGTGGTGTGTGTGTGTGTGTGTGTGTGCGCGCGCGCGCCCGCGTGTTGTGTTGGAGAGGAGGTGGAGCGCGCTACAAGGGGCTTAGAAAGATTGATTGCCAATCTAAAATATATTCGGAGTATTTGTATGTTGATCTTAAAAGACAATCCCCGTTCTCGATTTAAGCAAAATGAACAATACTGATAAGGAAGATGTAGAGGGTGGGAAACCCACACAGGCGAATGGAGCTGTCCATGCAGCAGCAGTGACAGGGGAGCGCTTGGAGCAAGGACGCTATGCAGAGGGAAGTCTCTCTGGCTCTGCTCTCGCGGTCCACAATCCAGAGATACTGCATCTGTAAAAATATTAATAGAAAACAAACCTACAACCCGGACGGGCGGTGTGGGTCGTGGGCAGCCGCCAGGCTCCGTTCCCTGCGGCCAGGAGAGGTCCCTCTCCCCCCGCGGCTGGAGCTGAATGTGGTGATCCGGCCCGGGGCGGGGGATGACTTCATGCGACCGGAGCTGGGCGGCGGGAGCGGCAGCTGCAGCTGGCAGGTTGGGGTGGGGGCCCGCGGAGCTGACCACGCACACGGCCCCGCGCGGCTGGACTTCTGCCCGGGGCACCGGGCGCCCGGGACGTGCGCTGACTGGTTCCTGGGGAAGGTAAGCAGCCGGGCGGTTAACAGCTCCGGCCACACTGCGCGGTGCTTTCTGCTCCGATAATAATGGGGTTTGTAAAGGGTAGAAGGGGGACAGCCCTGCTGCATTCGGAGGTGGGAAAAGGAGCAACTACTAGGACTGAAATGTTAATCAGGCAAGTGCTGCAGATTGGAAGAGCGGGATTACCGGGCAAACAAAGAAGGCGTTCAGCCTCTGGACTCTTTAAAATAGGATCAACCATTTCAATGCCAGGTTTGCTTAGACACTGAAGGGAATTCAAGATACAAAATAATTTGAGTTGCACCGTTACCTTTCTGCCTGCTACCTGCACTTGACTATTTTCGAGCTTTGGAGCAGCAGGTCCCTAGCAACAGCCAGGAGTAATCTGAAATCTTCCCTCTCTGTTTCCCATCGTGCCGTCTCTTCCCAATTATCAGACTGGGTCTGTGCTCATCTCAATGTCAGAACACCTGCTTCAATACCGCACCTTTACAAAGAGTCTCTATGGAAGGAGAAACTTAGCTCCTGGAGTTCAGCTTCGCTGGAGCAGCACTTGACATCGCTTCTCCCTTCGCTTATCATCTTCTCTGTCAATGTTTTCATTGATCTTTTTCCGAAGTGGCCTTCAACAGGCCAACTTTTGTCGGCTCCTATCCACCGCCTCATTCCATGACTGATTTTGTCAAGGACCTAGAAAGGGCATTGCCTCAGGAAGTGTTTCCTTTTCCGTTTTCTGTCTAGGTACTGTTACCTGTGTCCTTCTCCCAAACAGCTGGGATGAAATAGCCTGCTTTTAGCACAGCACCGCTATGCTTTCCTACAGCTCTCTTCATTGTAGACCCTGTAGCCACCAGTGTATTGGGGTGTGAAGGATGCTTCCTAAGTACAAATATAGGTAGAAGTAAAAAAGGTGAATGACAGTCTATTCAGTTTCTCTTGATGCTTTTTGTTTGTTTGTTCGGTGGTGAGACAACCAGCTGTTAGGATCTAGGGCGAGTCCTTCCCAAAAAGCAAGCAGCGTGGTTGCCCTAGTGTTCCCCACTAACCTCAAAAGACTTTCCCAGGAGGCTTTCTCTAAAGGTATTAGAAAACCAATGGGACTGCCCAGTCTAAGCCTGAGGTTACTTGAGCATCCTGAAGTTTGTCTCTCCATTTGCAATCCACTTGCCCTAGGATTTACCCCCAGAGACCCCTTGCCACTGAGCTCTGTCCCTATCCTTGTTGCCTCCTAGGGATGTACATTTGAATAATATGCTGTGAAATGGTTAAGATGGCTGTTACGAGGATTGCAAATATGCCACTTCACTAACAGAGAACAGTTGCAGTGAGCCAGATTGTGAGATGTCTGTGTGCCAATAGTCTATTGAAAAGGAGATCTGTTATCTTTAAACTTGCAATTAGAGACAGTCTGACTCAAGAGCCATGCGATTTTATTTTAGCCAATTAGAATAGAGAATCAATGAGAAGAACCAGAGTTTATAGCCATAAAATTTACCTCTCCTTACCTTCCCTTTTCAATATTGCTTTTAGACAAAGACACTGGTTTTGAAAAATCATTTTAATTCTGTTCTACACTATTATTCCTTTTCTGATGACAAATTCTCTTTTTATAAAAGACACCTTAAAGAGATTGGAATTTTCTTTGTTGGCACCTTCAGTGTAGGAGATGGAGGAAGCAAAGCCCATGACACAGTGGCCTACTCTGGGAACTGACTACGGGGATCTTGAGCCAAGTTTTGTCTGTTGTTTTGATTTGGTTTGTTTGTTGGCATTATTATATGTTGGACATGATTTGGATTTAAAATACTACATTTTCAAGATTCTCTGATTTTGGTTCAGGCACATCAACAGGAAGTCACAAAGCACAATATCAACAGCAAAATCTGCTACTCTACCACCATTCTTTTCTGGTATAAAATAACCTTAAAAATCATTATTCTGAAGAATTAGTACTGACAAATATTAATACATTTTATGTTATATATATATTATATTCTGAAAAAATTAGCCCAAGGTGTATAAAATACAGGTTAATCCCAGAAGTACAATGAATATTTCCATAGTATTAAGAGTCATCCTTCTGTATAAGAGAAGTGCATGAAAATATCCTAATAATGGTTAGAAATTCAAAATGTCTATTACATGGTTTCTGAAAAAAATTAATTTCTAGGCAAGAAAAGGAGTCAGGATCAGGAGACTGGTGTTGTCTAAGCTGTTCTAATACTTGCTAAGGATTTTACAGGTGACATTGACCCACCAAGTCTACAGATTAGAATTGGAGAAAACTCATTGACAAGAAAAAACACAAGTTTGAAAATTCAGTATGCATTTTGGGACAACCAAGGGAGACAACTAAATTTTAAGAGAATTCTGACTTTGGACCTTGTTGAGATTAAACAATTTCAAAAATCAGGAACATTTTTCTAAAGTCAGAGCCAGAAGCAGAAATAGAGGTATGATTTTATGACTGAAATTGATTTATGACTTTATTTCCTTTCATTTAAATGCTTCCCAAGGAAAGAAAAAATTAATCGACTAGTATTCAGAAATAAAGGAGGAATGAAAAATGGAGTAATGTGCCTGATTAGATGCTAAATGAACTCAGGCACTTCCCTAGGTTTGACAAGGTAGACTTGAAGCCTATCTACTGCTTTCCAATCACATTAACAAAACAAAACAAAACAAAAAATTTGTGTCTCACAGGCAATGAATGTTATCAGCAACTGAGGGAATACAAATTTAGGAGTCAAGGTTGTGTTATCATTACAAAGGAGCATTTTCTGGCTGCATTATTGTTATTAGCTACAATTGAAATAGTCTTATCTTGAGATATTGAAAAGTGGAAAATAAAAAATAAACGGGAATAATAAGGATACAGAAAAAATTACACTGATAATCAACCAGTACTTCCACTGAGAATGGGTAGAAAAATGTTCTATTTTGAAAGATGCCAGTGAATACTTAATTGACAGATTTCTATTCATTATGTCTTTGTTTATAAGTTTTCAACTATGTTCTTTTTTGTTAATATTTGTGTTTAAAATATTAATAATAAGTAATACATACCATGCACTGTGATATCTTTTGATACCACTACTCACTAATCTCCTTAAGATAAGTCATGCACAGCCCAATTAACTGGTCTTTATTTCCAAATCGTGCCTCATGATGTCCTGCCCGTATATCTACATTTGTCCTTTGGCCCAGTCTTTGTGTTGAAACATCAGACATTGCCTCAGACATGAATCCTTCCCTCTACCCATTTTCCTTTCCTGGTCAGACGTGTTTTTTCCCTGGTCTAAATAACTGTAGTACTTTTTATCTTTGTTTATCCTTTCATGTGGACATGGTTTGTCTGTTCTTCTAGCTTAGCCCTTGAGAACAGGGTCTAGGATGCACAAATTTTATTACCTTCAACTCATAATATAGTACTGGCTACATGTAACTGTAGTAGGTGTTCAGCTATTTGATTTTAATGAAGAAATGAGTTAGTCCACAAGTATTTACCCACTTAACAAATTAGGCTTCCTTTTTTTTTTTTTTTAAGATTTTATTTATTTGACAGGTAGAGTTACAGTGAGAGAGAGAGAGAGAGGTCATCCTTCTGTTGGTTCACTCTCCAAATGGCCAGAGCTGCACCGATCTGAAGCCAGGAGCCAGGAGCTTCTTCCTGGTCTCCCATGCAGGTGCAGGGGCCCAAGCACTTGGGCCATCTTCTACTGCTATCCCAGGCCACAGCAGAGAGCTGGACTGGAAGAAGAGCAGCCGGGACAAGAACCGGCGCCCATACATGATGCCGGCACCACAGGCGGAGGATTAACCTCTGTGCACCAAGGCACCGGCCCCAACAAATTAGGCTTTCAACATATGTGGAAGTACTAATTTACTTTAAGTGCCCTTTTATAGTACTAAATAGTAATATACTCTCAAATTACCATATTCATTAAGAAGACATTAATGGACATACTTGCCCTTAAATGTGTAGTAAATCACATATATTAACAGCATGGCAAGCATAACAAAAATTTAAAGACATGGTACCTATTTTCAGAATGCTGCATTCTAAGCAAGATAAGCATCTTACATCTATAAGCACTTAGGCTGTTTCAAGGCACTCTATTAGTGACTTTCAACTGTGTTATCTAATTTAGTGCTTCTGCTATATGCTAATTTCACATTGAGAAAGCTTAGCTTCTGAGATGTCATTCAAATGACAGAAACTAAATGGCAGAGATTTTTTCCACATTACAATGATGCTCTTTGAAGTTTAATAGACTGAAGGAAAGCACTATAAAAACATAATGCCAGATGCATCAGAGTACTTTAAAATTGTTTTGTGATTAATCTTTCTGGAGATTTTCAAACTTTTGGGTGTTAATGTAAATTCCTTTGATAATTCAACAAACCATGCATTCTCTCACCAAATACACACACACACACACAATTTTGTACACAATTGTAGATGGTTAAGATCCACTAAAGCCCTTTTTAGGGAACAGTTAAAATTATCTTTTTGGGAACTACTCTGACAATAAATGTATCTTTTATTAGCCTATACTTGATGTGAGGTTCTTCTTTCTAGTACTTGATGTGAAGTTCTTCTATTCTCTTTGCTGAAGTGAGAGCCCTTCACTCACAATGGCAAAAAGACTTCTGAGATGACTAGAAAGCAAGTGCTAGAAAGAAGGGTGACTGAACATTACACAGCCCAAATGACATATTTAGGGTTTCCCAATTAAAACTATTTTTTTACAAAAAAATAGTTCTCAGACTTAGAGTATTATGGTGCCAAATTGGTAGAATATTGCCAGTGGTGATTACTTTACACCACTTTGAAATATATTCATTTCTTTTGGGATGGCCTTAGTCTTATGTCAAAGTTACTATTTCTTTCTTGTTTATTGGTGTCTGCAGTAATAAGGATGTCATGTTCATCTCTCTATTCTAAAACAATTACCAGCCTAAAACAGACACGAATCCTCTTTGCTGCATAAAAATGTAAC